CTGGCTAGTGAACACTCCCCTTAGAACGGCGACCCTGACCTATGAAAAACACGACACCTCGTCCCGAGTAAGCCTCCCGGACGAAACCTTTTGGGTCGACGTCCCAGCCGACGCTATCCTGCACGTAGGCGACCTGGCATTATACCACCTGTATCCGAACCAGTACGAGGCAGAGGTCGAGATACCAGAGTTCTTTGAGGAAAGGGCCTTGGAACTTCAACCCTCTACCCTAGTCCAAGCCACCTACGAGGGGGCACAAACCGTTGACGTTACGGTCGTAGACAATCTCCTTCAAGAGATTGCCAAGCGACCGACCATCCACCACCAACCAGTAGCCTACTCCTGGGCCGCCCCCGATACAGTCATGGCCATCGCGGTAGGACTCGGGTACGGCCTGGTCGTAGTCATGGCCTTCGTCCTAAATAGACGGGTTAGACGACTCCGCGATAGCTTTAACAGGTGCACGGAGGCAATGACGAGACAGATCCGTAGACGACCAAACCGTGGCAATTTGAGTCGGCGTCCCCAGGTCAATGAGTCAGAGTACGAGGACCTCCAAAGTCACCCACTCGAGGCGGTCACCCTTTCTATCACGGAAGGTGAACCAAGGGCCTAAAACACCACTAAGAGTCACCAGCTCAGACCCAACCAACCTACCTCGATACCTAATCAGTCTCCTAGACAATCATGCCTGTCATCCCCATTTATATGCAGGAAATGTCCCTCGTAATTAAAGCCCCACTTGCTACGTCATATATTCGTGTAACCCTCACACTCCCCTTTTAGAACGAGCAAGATGGGAACCCCTCACCATCGAGTGCCTTAACAACGCTCCTACCCGCTGCCAAGGCAGCCACCTTTTTTTTTTGATTTTTGAAGTTTCCTATTTTGTATCCTAGTCCCCTAAAGTAGAAACTCCTGCTACTCTCTTGGCTTGGAACTTTGAGTCTTCCAGACCAAGAGACCCAGGAGTCAGGCGCACCGGCCCAAACCTTAGAGTTCACGGCCGGAGCTCACTCCCTAAAACCCCTGATTCCGGTTAGAACTAGCCTGCAGGGCCAGGACTCGCCTTAGAGAAAACCCGGCCTCGACAAACCAAGCCAGAGGCCCGAGACCCAACCGCTACGAGCCTGCCCCAGTTAGGCGCTTGCGAGCTACTGAGTCACATTGAGACGGGAATGTTGTAACATGTCACTACAAATTGTACACTAACACCCGAACAGGCGAGAAGACCGACTGAAGACAACCCTACAGCATATCCGACATGACATGCACCTTGTCGGAAGGTGCATCTCTGCCGTGGGGGGGGTATGTAAGGTTAAACTGAGGGCAGGACCAAGCCTGTCCACTCTGTTTACCATTGACCAAATGGAGAGATACAGCTTCAAAGGAGCCATGGGGTCAGCCACAAGCCGCCATCAATCATGAGGATTACAGATGCCAAAAAGAGTAATAAAGTCACCACGGGGATAAGCACCTCTGTCTCTGCCTGCCTGTAGAGATCAAAGATCACAACCCTGCCCTCGCTCACAGACTCCTGCCACCGGACAATCAAAGACTCTCCCGCGGCGCTCTGACGCCCCCTTGTGAACAATGGACACTATCACACCCGGGACGGACAATTGCGAACCGGTACCCCTGGGTCCAGTACTCCAATAATCTGCATTGTGCCCCATATGTGTGTATCAATGTCAAAGTAATGAAATACGGTGTGTGTTTGTACATGTCTTATGATTATTAGCATCAATCCTGTGTGTTTCCTTTACAAACTGTCTGTTGTAAAAGGGGTCTGTCCACAGAGGGCAGGGGCGGCATGGACACGCCCCCTGGGAAGCCTATATGAGCACCCACACGCCATTGTTCTTTCTCTTGCCTTCTCCTGAAATCACTATCGCAACCTCCCTGGCCATCGGCGTCCCGCGGCACGTGTCTCCTACTACGGTCGCGCCAGCACGCATCGGGCCTTCTACTCCGCCAAACATACTCTCCTCTGGCTCGGGACCTTACGAACCATTTCATCACCAGCCTCTTTCCTTGGCTCTGGACTATACGCGTGCAACCCATTCCGGACTGAGCTGCATACGCGTGGACCAGCAGCTGGACCAACTCGCTGGTTTTGTACCTCCCGCCTGCCCAGACAAAGGAACCACGTGGACTGATCCCCAACCCAAATCCTTTCTCCATCCTCTACGCTCCTTCAAAGTAAGACTGTTCCTTTGTTAAATGTATGATTTGAATGATATGTGTACAACTCCTGCTTTTAATGTGACCAGAAATCCCTTTTCGTCATATTTTTACCCTCATTTTTGTAATCAATAAACTACTCTTCTTTAACTCAACCTCTTCAGAGTCGCGTTGTTAGATCTCGGAATATCACTGGCCGATAAAAGTACTCACTACCTATTAGATTTATAAGACTGACTCGAGGCAAAGTTGGTTTGGATCTGTGCAGTGTGTCATACACTGCTGGTGCCTAAATAAATATAAAGCAGATCCCCACTCGAATAGGACGGCCAGACTCTGATTTGAAGACTAGCCGCACTATTCTTCTCATAACATATTTATATATTATTACCCTATAATATATAAATATTTACCCTACATACCGGTGCACCCCCACTGGCTCGGGGTGGTATTACATGCATGTCAGCCCACGCCATTTTTGACATTTTTGTACTGGCACTAATGGGGTGGCTGGATTGGACCGATGTGGTGAAGACAGAGCTGAGTCAAAGGGCAAAGCTCTCCATTTACCTGTCAATTTGTTATTTGTTGTTATGTTTAATCAAAACAAATGAGAGGCTTAGTTGATCACAACTTCCTTTACAAGACAGAAAAAGTGCCTCTTCTCTGCCCAGTTATAGGAAAAAAAAAATCTTCCTCCTGTTGATAAATATCCCAATTTGTGAGATGAATATGGATGAATGGGTGTATCAATAATCACATTTGCATGACCAGAATGTATTAAAATGCAGTATAATGCTATTCACATTTTTAGAAGGTAAATTGAATTATACTTTCATGAATTTGTGTATCCCACTAATAAAACCATTCACAACAAGGTGCAACAGGTTATGTCGGTTCTGAAAAGGATCCGAAATCCTTGTCAACACCTTAACATCATATTGAAAGTAGTTTAGTTGACCTAATTAGACTTCTACTAGCTGATTACAAAAATAGCTTCAGTGGAGATCCGTCATCACTGGTCTGAATAAGAAGTCTAAGTCGGATGAATAATTTATATTTCTGTTTTAGAACAAAGCATCGGGATGTGTGGATACGTCTTCTGCCTGAAAAGAGACATTTGATCAGCCTCTCCTGCCACCGTCCCACTGCGTTACTCCAGTCAACTATTGCATGTGTATTGACCAAACTGAAGATCCAAACTGAATCAAACAACAGCTAAGTGACCAATTAGGTGTTGATTGACGCTTTGCTACTATTAGAGAGATTTAGATTTCTTTTATTTCAAAATCTGCAAGTTGCATATTCAATATGGAGAGACTCGCACAGACTAACCATGGGTATTATTACAATTGTTTATTGTTTGGCAAGTATCCTGACACATAAATGACCCTGGCAGAGCACTGTACGATTGCGAAGAGGAAAGAGATTATTAAATGAAATCCTCTGGGGCCTAGACCCTGGTGTTGGTAGTTTAGGAGAAGGATGAAAGAGCTGGCCTGGGAGGAGGAGGGTTATGGGTTGAATGAAGCAGCTCCTTGGATGGAGCTTCCTCGTGATATGAAGCGTGATGCGGGCAGTGCCTGATTGTTGCCAGTGTGATTGACTGATTGCTGTTGCCGTGAACAACAGTAGGACGAATTTGAGCGCTGTGAGCTTAGTTTTTCCCATGTTTGCCATTCTGAATTTCCGCTTTAGCTTCATTATACCAAGTGCAACTCGAACACAATAATGAAGCAAACCACCAACATAAAAGGGCTGATTTTTAGAACTCACAATGAGAGAAAGGTTCAAAGTTTAAGGCTCAACTTCATTTGTTGGACACAAACATACTAACTAGACAATCAACATCGGGACAATCGGCTCATCTGTCAATCAGTGCATGGTCTCCTTAGAGCCAGAATACAAATCAACGCACACCATATCCAAGAAGGTACAGTACATGCATTGTCCAAAGATTCAGATTCAGATTATTTGCCATTTGCAGTAAAAAAAACACATTGGAATACATTGGTAAAAAGTCTCCAGTGTGCACAGACAAATACAGACATAAAACAACTTCAAAGAGCTTATGAAGTTGGAAAAAGAATAAAGCCTTGCTCACTCCAGTTTACACAAATATTTAGATACTGTTGCTTCATATTCTCTGTACAGTGAGTGGAAAGGATCGTTGATTGTGCTTATAGCCAGTGCCAGAGCAGAAACTTACAAAATAGATTGCAGGGAGGGATGTTCCTTTCTCACTATGATTTCCATGGCACTTTTGACAAGCTTCTCAATTTTTGATTTACAAATGGACAGAGCCACACCATACCATATATGATTAGGCTCATAAATAGATACTTCATACATCCTAGTAGGAGAAATTCAAGTGTCCAGAAACACCTCCTTCCACACAAAATATAAATTCATATTCTAAAATGCACTAACAATAGTAATAACATGCAATGGCACTTTAGGTCACAGCAGGAGAGGGGATGTTGCCTTGAGCATGAACTGTGCTATACAAGAAAACTTACTTTGCCAAATATGCATAACGGTTTTTTTCATATTTGTGGTTAAAAAAAAAAAAAGTAGAATTTTAGAATATCATAGATCTCAAACAACAACAATCCTGCACAAAGCTACTGATGTTTCCGCGACAACATGTCAACAACACATCAGATGCTCGCAATTTTGAGAGGGGTTTTCTCTCCCAATGCAGCGTTTTTTGGAAAAGTGTACAGTATATATACACCCAAAATAATACGTAGTCTACCTTTAATCAAGTTCAAATAAAATAAAACTTTTGTTTGTGTTGTGTGAAAGCGCACATCATGGATTCACTCACACCCACCAACAGTGACGTAAGTAATACATCCAATGTGTAAGTATTTTGTTTGTTCCAAGTTGTAATTAGCTGTATGCTAATGTGTTTTGAAGGAGACTATGGAGGTGTTGACTGCGGTGGAAGAACTGCAACTTAAACGGTCAGAGAGCTCAGAAGATATTACACAAATCTTAGAGGAAATTGTGAAAAGCGTGAGTGAGATGTCCATCCATGCAAAGACCCGTCCCATCGTTCCCCACCAGTGTAGCTCTGTCAAGACCGAAAGAGTGAAGCCACGGCGAGGCGGAGTATTACACAGGTATTTGTAGTTTGAAAATTCTAAAAGATATAAAAAATACATTCCAAAATCAGGCAATTGTGTTTTGATCTGCAGAAATGAGAATGAGTGTCATGGTGTGGACTTCAATCTACTTCATCCTCGATATAGATGTATGAGTGATTTTCTAAATGAAGACATCAATTTTCAAGACCTGGCGAAATGCAAAGGTTAACCTGCTGTCTGCACTCCCGCAATACATGTTTCAATGAGTCTATTTGTCTCTGTCTCATACTGTGGACATTTCCAGTAACAACGACCAATTCAAACACAATGCAATTCCACTCTCACTATCATATACCGTTTCATAAGTAAAATAGTAAAATTAGGGCTGTCAAACGATTAACATTTTTATTAAGATAAGATAAGATAAGATTTGCTTTGTTTATCTCACATAGGAGAAATGTACATGTCACATTTGGCATGGATAGAGACACTCAGGTTGTGCAAAGGGAGGAAATGTGCAAACATGTTACATGCAGGATATATGTAAAATAAAGTGACAATAATAGAGTTAATTTACAGCTTAAAAATTATTTGATCATAATTAATCGCATTTTGAACTATTGGCAAAATTATGCCATATTTTTTTCTTTAAATGGTTGTTTTAATGGTAAGATAAATGACAACATAGCTGTGCATGTGAATGGCTCATTCACATAAACACGTTCTGGTGTTCGGTGATTTAACAGGGCCTCGTTTCTTTAAGCTATTTGACTTTACTATTTGTAAGTCTTGGCAAAGCAAGTTTATTTGTATAGCACAACTCATACACAAGGCAACTCAAAGTGAAGTTAGAGACAGCCACACAAGAGTTTTTGTTTTATTTTTAACACTGATTCTTAGAGAAGAAACTTGTCTCACATTTTCAGGAAGACGTATTTCATAATCTGGACACCAGCAGGAGGCCAGTCCCTTTCTTCTAATCCAACGTATTTAACAAATAAAATGTGTCTATCCAGGATTTTTCAGGCATTGTTTTATGATTGTTGTTTTACCAAACATATTTTTGTAGATTAACTTCAAGTTTTGTATATACACTTACAATGCTTACTTATTGGGCGGCACGGTGGCTGAGTGGATAGCACTCTCGCTTCTCAGCAAGAAGGTCCTGGGTTCGAATCCCGGTGGGAACAGGAACTCTCTGAGTGGAGTTTGCATGTTCTCCCTGTGTAAGTAAGTAGTAAGTAAGTTTTTATTTATATACCGCCTTTTCACTGCTTTTCACTTCTCAAAGCGGTTTACAATTGTTAATTTTAGGCATTTTGTCTCTCACTCCACACAGAGATGGGAGCGGGGCCAGTACAGGAGGCACATGCCAGAACTATTGGACATATTTTTAGTGGTAGGGGAAACCGGAGTACCCGGAGGAAACCTACGCAGACACGGGGAGAACATGCAAACTCCACTCAGAAAGGCCCTGGTCCGGCCGGGATTCGAACCCAGGACCTTCTTGCTGAGAGGCGAGAGTGCTATCCACTCAGCCACCGTGCCGCCCTGTGTCTGCGTAGGTTTCCTCTGGGTGCTCCGGTTTCCCTTACCACTAAAAACATGCACAATAGGTATGAATGTAAATGAGAGAGTGAATGGATGGTGTTGATTGGGGGCTGATGCGCCAGTGTGTTCGGCGACTCGCTTCTGTCATCACCTTGTGTGGAATCATTGGAACAATATCTGAACTCTGAACATTGTAAAGCGCTTTAGTGACCTTGTTCTGTAAAATGCGCTATATAAATAAACAGTACTTACTTACAGTACTTACTTATTGAGGAAAAATCCAGTTTTCTGGATAACTTACAAAATACATGACAACCTGAATGTTAAACATATTGATGTTTTAGCTATTACGAATATTTCCCAATAAGTGATCTTATGGCCAGATACAGCTGCAGGCCGCAGCTGTATCTGGACATGATCTATAACTACTAAATCTGAGGCTGAGGGACGACATGAACTGTTGACAATGACGGAACAGGGGTGAAGGAACACATTAAAAGGTTAAAATACACATGACTAACCAGACAGAGGTGATTCACATGAGGGCAGGTATCAGAAACAGGAAGCACAGGGGTTAACAAATTACAACATAAACCATGACATTATGTGATAGAAAGCGTTAGTGTGTGACTTAATCGTTTTTCAGTTCAGAAGCCACAAGCCTTTCACCCAGTGGTGTTTGTTTGGGAGCTGATCATCCAGACAAAATATGTACTTTTCTGCTCTATTTGACACAACCATTGGGCTTAGCTTTAATATGATGAAATATTAACACATTCAAAACATATCCATTATTATATCACACATACAAAACACATCATTACAAAAAAAATAACTAAATACAAAAATAATACAAATGCTGCTCAGCTTGTAATCTTATGGCTGTAATAAACCAGAATGCTCTAGCATTTTGCATGAAGCCACAGGCAGCTCTTATCAGAGAGCACTTGTTCTTTTAAATGTCACTTGTGGTATTTTCAAAAAAGCAATCAAGAGATGAGAGAGAGGAAGGTCAGCAGGGTTTTAGTCAAAAGCATTGTATTAGATAAGGCCTACACGTAATCTGATGAAATAATCCAATGTTGTGCAAAAAGCCACATACATTTCAGAGCTGACTGGTATAGGAAATTGATCAAAATTAATTTTACATTTCAGAAAGTGAAACAGTGTGTGATAAATCTACAGTTGGCAAGCAAGTGTTTTGGTACTGTAAGTTAATCATAAAAATCAACTCTGGTAAAATTAACAGTAAAACAATTTGTTTTAGAAATAATGCAATTATGTTTAATTATTGGTCACAATGTATTACTTTGAGCCTTCTTAAGCATAATGCAGCTTAAATAACTGATGTAGAAATGTGTCATATTCAGCTAACTACAATGAATCAATCTACTTAAATGCATGGCTGACAACATCAAACCTGTTTTTATGTCATGTCACATCTGCTAAGTGGAAATTTCGGACATTTGGGTTTGATAATACTACAGCTCAAGTACCAATGAACATCTACAAATGCCACATGACATTGTGACAGCTCATTGTCCTTAAAAATAAATTATTTCATGAATCAAAACGTGTATTATTTTGCACCTTAGCTGGTCCTTGGGCCTCAGTGGGTGTCCAGGTGAAGTCAGGTCTTCAAGTCTTGAACAAGTGATTATCGCCACAGTGAGTGGCTGCGAGGGTATCCAGCTGCGATGGATACATGCAGTCCCTAATGGTGCATAATGGAGAAGAAAAATATAGTGTTCTGTTAATGTGGCGGTCATGGAGCTTGTTCTGAAGCATAGATTTAACGCTATTTTCATTTTTTGTACTATTATATGCCCATGTCAAATTTAGTAAATGGATCATTGTCTTTTACTGATGTCTGTGTCTATTCTTCGCTTCATAGAGAACAATAATGTGTTTTGGCAAAGGCACATTAAACCATTCCAATGACCTGCATGATGAGCTTGATTGTTAGACTAAATGCTGATGGCTTCCTATTCCAGAGCGCACCTCACGTTTCAGCAGGATGCTGTTTGCAGTAACCACTGTTGTCAATACAGCACTTATACATGTTGGTGTCATGGTTTAGATTTATTTCCTGTTTTATTTTGTAGTTTGTTATATCCCTGTGTCTGCTTTGGTTGCTCTTCCTGTCTTACCAGCCCTGCCCTCATGTGTATCACCTGTGTCTCGTTAGTCTTGTATTTAGCCCTGTGTGTTCCTTCACTCCCTGTTCCATCATTGTCATTTCTCGTCTGTTTTATTTCGGTCCTCGTTCCCTGTGTTTTTGGATTTGTTTCATCTTTTTATTAAATCCCTTATTTTTTGCAGTTTTGCATTTTGGGTCTCATTTTAATTTCACCCTCGTGACAGAATGACGGAAACATACAAGGCCCAAGCAGACTGCTTCATTTTAAATTTTTCTGGCCTTTATCCCCAACTGGAGAGTCGCTGCAGGAGTTGGAAGCATCCCTCTCTTGTCTTTGTCCTGGACCACTGCAGGACACTTTGTTCCGTCCTGGGTGGTTGCAGGCTTTTGTCCCTGACCTGGCTCCGCTGGACATCGTTTCTCCATCCAGGGGGCCTTCCGGTTTTCGTACCTGCTTCGCTCTAGTCCCCGCTCCAGCTCCTGCTCCAACCCTGCCGGGTTCCAGCTCGGCGGCTCCACGTCCCGGCCCCGGTTTCACGTCCCGGCCCCGGCTCCACGTCCCGGCCCCGGCTCCACGTCCCGGCCCCGGCTCCACGTCCCGGCCCCGGCTCCACGTCCCGGCCCCGGTTTCACGTCCCGGCCCCGGCTCCACGTCCCGACCCCGGCTCCACGTCCCGACCCCGGCTCCACGCCCCAGCTCCTGCCTTTCCTACGGTCCCTCTCCCTCCCTGGTTGTTTTTTGGACGTCTGGGATCCGTCCCTTGAGGAGGGGGTACTGTCATGGTTTAGATTTATTTCCTGTTTTATTTTGTAGTTTGTTATATCCCTGTGTCTGCTTTGGTTGCTCTTCCTGTCTTACCAGCCCTGCCCTCATGTGTATCACCTGTGTCTCGTTAGTCTTGTATTTAGCCCTGTGTGTTCCTTCACTCCCTGTTCCATCATTGTCATTTCTCGTCTGTTTTATTTCGGTCCTCGTTCCCTGTGTTTTTGGATTTGTTTCATCTTTTTATTAAATCCATTATTTTTTGCAGTTTTGCACTTTGGGTCTCATTTTAATTTCACCCTCGTGACAGTTGGTGTCCATAAATGAATTAATGTGTTTTCAACAGTGAATAGATTAACAAACCCCCCTGTTCAGATGCCATTAGAGCAAACTTCCAAATGTAAATGCAATGAGTTTGCAAATATTTTCAATGAAAAGGTTCAAGGCATCAAAAACGCCATTGTCTCCAATCCACAGATAATGATCCAACAGCCAGAAAGGCTCTCTGAGCTAACTCACTTTGCACCTGTAAATGATAAAACTGTCCAAGAGAATCTCCAGTTTGAGCTCCTCCACATGCAGCCTGGATGTACTACCCACTAGATTTCTGAAGTCTGTTCTGAGCAGTCTGTTACCTTCACTCACACAGATAGTAAACATGTCCCTTCATTCTGGAATATTCCCAAAGGCCCTGAAAACTGCAGTCATCAGGCCCCTGCTAAAAAAGAGCAGTCTGGATGCCACCGTACTTAACTATCGTCCCATCTCAAATCTGCCATTTATGGGGAAAGTCCTTGAAAACGTTGTCTACCTACAGCTTACTAGATTTCTTATCAACAACTCATTTGATATGTTTCAGTCCAGCTTTAGACCCCTCCACAGCACTGAGACTGCTCTCGTCAAGGTGACAAACGATATCCGGCTGAACACTGACGCAGGCCAAGTCTCAATCATGAAGCTGAAGCTGATATTCAGACTGAAAGACCGAGTGCAAATTCCCCCTTCCAAGCCTGCAAATCACACAGCTCTGCCAGCCTCGAGCCTCAGTCAATCACACAGCTCTGCCTGCTTCGAGCCTCAGCCAATCACACAGCTCTGCCAGCCCCGAGCCTCAGCCAATCACACAGCCCGGCCAGCCTCCTGCCAATCCTCTCACAGCAAAGCGGGCAGTTTAAAAGGCAGCCACTTCCTGACAAGCAACGCTTCCTGAGGCTCTTAAACACCCATCACCTCCCCAGCACCCCCTCTGGCTACTGCTCTGGCTCTGGCTCTAGGCTACTGCTCTGGCTCCTGCTCCGCCTACGCCCCATTCACACCATGTTCTAGCCACTTCTGCTTGACCCCGGGGATCTGAGATTATCTTCAGCTGCAATCGATCTCATCACTGCAAGTGTCACTGCCGGGGTCAATGTGCCAAACAAATAAATCATTTTATCTCATTAATTGTGTCCTTGGTCTCTTTAATTCTGACATTTCTCCACTGTGAGACTAATAAAGGTTTATCTTGTCTAATCTTTAGATTGAACTAGAAACTTGCAATGGCTGAAGCCATTGCGATTGACTGCGGAACAGATCTAATGTGGAAATCTGCTAAAAAAAATCCTTGAAATCCTTTAAAAGGCCTTGAAACTGTTAAAATACTTGATAGATATTTGAAACTCCTGAAGTCCTTGAAATTGTTGAAACCTTTAAACTCCTGAAATCCTTGAAACTGTTGAAACATTGAAACTCCTGAAATCCTTGAAACTTTTTTTAAACCTGGAAACTGTTGAAAGTGTGGAAACTCCTGAAATCCTTGAACCTCCTGATATCCTTGAAACTGGTTAAATTCTTAAACAGTTGAAATCCTTGAAACTACTGAATGTATTGAAAGTGTCCTTGAAACTGAAAAATCCCCTCACCGCTGAAACAATTTGGTTCCTGTAACTAAGGAAACCTGGTCTGTGGTCATTATCTGGTGGTGGTCTGAGTCTTCGTTTGGGTCTTGGTCTGGTGGTATAATGCAACCTATTAGGTTGCATTATACTGGTTTACATGGAAAAATCCCTATTAGGTTGCATTATACTGGTTTACATGGAAAAATCCCTATTAGGTTGCATTATACTGGTTTACATGGAAAAATCCCTATTAAGTTGCATTATACTGGTTTACATGGAAAAATCTCTATTAAGTTGCATTATACTGGTTTACATGGAAAAATCCCTATTAGGTTGCATTATACTGGTTTACATGTACAAATCCCTATTAAGTTGCTTTATACTGGTTTACATGTAAAAACCCCTATTAGGTTACATTATAGTGGTTTACATGTAAAAATCCTTATTAAGTTGCATTATACTGGTTTACATGTAAAAACCCCTATTAAGTTCCATTATACTGGTTTACATGTAAAAACCCCTATTAAGTTCCATTATACTGGTTTACATGTAAAAACCCTATTAAGTTGCATTATACTGGTTTACATGGAAAAATCCCTATTAAGTTGCATAATACTGGTTTACATGGAAAAATCCCCATTAAGTTGCATTATACTGGTTTACATGAAAAAAACCCTATTAAGTTGCATTATACTGGTTTACAAGGAAAAATCCCTATTAAGTTGCATTATACTGGTTTACATGGAAAAATCCCTATTAAGTTGCATAATACTGGTTTACATGGAAAAATCCCCATTAAGTTGCATTATACTGGTTTACATGTAAAAAACCCTATTAAGTTGCATTATACTGGTTTACATGGAAAAATCCCTATTAAGTTGCATTGTACTGGTTTACATGGAAAAAACCCTATTAAGTTGCATTATACTGGTTTACATGGAAAAAACCCTATTAAGTTGCATTATACTGGTTTACATGGAAAAAACCCTATTAAGTTGCATTATACTGGTTTACATGTAAAAACCCCTATTAAGTTGCATTATACTGGTTTACATGGAAAAATCCCCATTAAGTTGCATTATACTGGTTTACATGAAAAAAAACCCTATTAAGTTGCATTATACTGGTTTACATGAAAAAACCCTATTAAGTTGCATTATACTGGTTTACATGGAAAAATCCCTATTAAGTTGCATAATACTGGTTTACATGGAAAAATCCCCATTAAGTTGCATTATACTGGTTTACATGTAAAAAACCCTATTAAGTTGCATTATACTGGTTTACATGGAAAAATCCCTATTAAGTTGCATTGTACTGGTTTACATGGAAAAAACCCTATTAAGTTGCATTATACTGGTTTACATGGAAAAAACCCTATTAAGTTGCATTATACTGGTTTACATGGAAAAACCCCTATTAAGTTGCATTATACTGGTTTACATGTAAAAACCCCTATTAAGTTGCATTATACTGGTTTACATGGAAAAATCCCCATTAAGTTGCATTATACTGGTTTACATGAAAAAAAACCCTATTAAGTTGCATTATACTGGTTTACATGAAAAAACCCTATTAAGTTGCATTATACTGGTTTACATGGAAAAATCCCTATTAAGTTGCATTATACTGGTTTACATGGAAAAATCCCTATTAGGTTGCATGATTACACTGAAGTCCTTGAAACTGCTGAAGTCCTTGAAACTGCTGAAGTCCTTGAAACTGCTGAAGTCCTTGAAACTGTTGAAGTCCTTGAAACTCTTGAAATCTTGAAACTGCTGAAATCCTTGAAACTGTTGAATCCTTGAAACTGTTGAATCATTGAAACTGTAGAAATGTCTGAAAGAGCTGAAGTCCTATTAAAATGCATGGGCCTATTAAAATGCATTGCAGAATTCTCAATGCAGATTTTTGTCCGATTGCGGAAAAACCGGAAATCGCTGAAGTCCCAAAAGTAATAGCAATAATCTCCCAAACATGTGGAACGTTTTGATGTATAACTTGTGGAAATTGTTGAAAATGTGAAAGCTGTGAAACGTGTCAAAAAAAATGACGGAATAAAGAAATACAAAACCAATGGTTGACTGCGGAAGGTTCCGCAGTCAATCAATTAATCTGGTTAGATCTGAGTGCAGCTTTTGACACTGTCGACCATGAGATCTTATATTAGTAACATGTTAGTGCCATATGGACCGGCCCGGACTCTGAGGAGCACAGGGACAGGACTCCTGTTAGTGCCCAGAGTCAGAACTAAACATGGGGAGGCTGCTTTTCAGATTCATGCTGCTAAAATCTGGAACAATCTTCCTGAAGATGTGAGACAGGCCTCTACTCTGACAATGTTTAAAACAAGGTTTAAAATAGTTCTGTTTAGCTGTGCATACAACTGAGGGATTTTATATTTTACATTTCTATCTTTCTTTTTAATGTACTGTTTTTATTTATGATTTTAATGCTATCTTGTTTTGTTCAGCACTTTGAATTGCCTTGTGTATGAATTGTGCTATACAAATAAACTTGCCTTGCCTTGACTTGCCTATCCCAGTAGAAAGGTGTGGAGCAACCTCTCTCTGCCTGTACTAAGCTCTGGTGTGGGCGCTCTCTTCTCATGCCTGAGTCAGATAAGTGCACCCGTACAAAATCTATCAATGCATTTCATTGTCCAATCCACAAACTCACTGTAGCAGCCATGGTTCGCACGCGCCTCGGGGTGGTCACCCTCTCCATGCGCATTTGCTTAAACAAATGTTCCTCCTGGCCTAAACGCTTCCACAAACATTGTGCCCGGTGCTTGGCCCAACCTAGCACATCCTTGGATAACCCAAATTCATACCGCATATTAAGAGCACTGAGAATATGTGTTTCTCTGTTTGCTAACATGGGAGTGGTTGGGGCTGGTATGGTCCTTGGTTTGAAGTTATACGGAAGAAAGCTTGAGGCAAGGGATCTGTAGTTTCAATGAGAATCATATTTATTTGAATGTTTCTTCTTGCCACGTGCCTGAACATGGAATGCACTTTTCCAACAACCACGGGCCGGCGGAGGGTGCAGTCAGTTCAGTAAAGCACATAGCTTGGCTGGGTAGACTGCACCTGGGAAGAACAGCTTCTAAGGCACGAGACGCT